TGAAATACTAACGAGCCAAGCCAATTGGAAAATCAGAAAAAACAGGGAGTGCCTAAGCTTTGAAGACTGGGAAATTTGGAATAACCGCAATAGCCTTTGTTTGAGAGTCCATTCTTTAACTGTGTTCTGTCGGTTCTCTTTGAGGTTGTTGTGTACTAAATTGTGATCGCAAGAGATGATCATATTGGTGTTATATGATCACACTTTTTTTGTGATCCTGGGAGCAATAAATTACCAATTAAGAGTTGTGAAATCACATAGTTTTATATTTTTAAAAGGAATTTCTGGATAATTGAATATCTTCATTTTAAAAATAGTTGTTTAGCTTCCGAAATACTGTATTATACTTAAAAAGGTTTACAATACCTGCATATAGTAATCCTTTGTTACTGAATTTTGGCAACTAGTTTAATTGACAATCAGACTTTACCTCAGCCCGGTCACGATCGATTGTCAATGTCCCTTCGTGTTTTTCGTGTTCTTTTTTAATGTGTGTCTGTTCCGTGTTATCGTGTTTTGTATATGTTTTATTTATTGAACTCTGTTTGTTAACGACCTTCGAATGAAGTGATTACTTGACACCTTGAGGCCTGAAGATGGTTCAGAAGAACCGAAACTAGTTGCCAAAATTCAGCAACAAAGGATTACTATATGCAGGTATTGTGAACCATTTTAAGTAATTGAACAGCATTCGATCCCTATTAGTTTGGATGCTTGACTCGGGTGTAGGCGTACTAGTTTGCTTACATGTTTGGTCCAGGTGGAGCTGCAGCAGTGTGTGGGCACGAGGCTACCACAGTTGCTGAGACAACAACGTATCGGCCTTGTTGTGGTAGACTCTGTAGCAGCCATATACAGAGCTGACTACACACACGCTGAGATGGTACAGAGGGCGAGGGATCTGAGGACTCTGGCTCGTCAACTACACTCACTGGCCAACACTCACCACATTGCGGTTGTGTGCATAAATCAGGTCAGGTGGTCATTTTAAAACTCTCCCCGTTATTGTTTATGTATTTTTAAATTTTTTATTCAAAGTGAACATTTTTGTGTGTGTTTCTTTACCCATTTATATCTTGTCACGAATGTACCTCATTACTTCATTTCACAGTGAGGTAGCCATACTGCAAACACAACAGATTGATGTTTCAGTAGGGCTAGAGTTGCCGTTTGCTTTTCGAGGCACTCGTCCCGGTCGTCTTGACGGTGACATGGTGGCTCAGGTCGGTGCACTGAGTGTAGCGTTGTGGTCTTTCTCCATGTGCAAGTTTGATTCCCGTATGTGTGCAATCCATATTAAGTTTCTTATGTTAGGCTTAGTCGGTGGGAGCGCTCACCTGAAATATATGAGAACATTTTTCAATTTTTTTTTTTTTTTTTGAGGATGAGGATTTTTCTTCTTTGGTTTTTATCTTGACTTGATATCACGTTGAAATATATATATTTCATTCATATATATTTCATATTTGATATATAGAAATAAAAAATAACCTGAAAAAATAATTACCGTATTATATATATTTTGGTGGGTTAGTACTAAGTATTTTTTGTGGGTGTCAGTGAAAGGGAATTTTGGTAGATGTTATTTTAAAATTATTTTGGGTTTTATTTTCTCCTGATAACAAAAAAACTTTCAAACCATACTCTTCTATTTCTTTGTCGTCCATTTGTTTGCTGCAACACCCTCCCTCTTTTAGCGAATTTCACTATAGGCAAGTACCGGTAGCTATTTACAGTAGGTAGCACGCTAAGACCTAGGCCCCAGACTGATATACTTTTTAATTTTGATGTTCCTACTTACTAGATTCCAAAACACTAATTGTTAAAATTTTTATATATGTAAATATATGTCTGTGAATGAGATAACTTGAGTAATTTTTGTCTGATTTTGATGGAATTTGGCTTGAAGGTGTAGGGTGAGATAAACTTGAATGAGTTTGCGAACCAGCATGATCGGACTATGGGAACAGGGTGTTATGAGGGGTTTATGGGCTAAAAATTGGTTTATCTTATTTTTACCCTCACAACATAAAATTTCCAAATTTCTCTTTACACTATTTCAAAGAGCTTGAGGTTATTGGTTACAGAGGAAATTGAGAATTTGAAATTCCCACGTTATTCTTATGGAGAATTTAGTAAACTGTTGTAATTAAAAATAGGTATTTACCTTCGTCTACAGCTCAAACTGTTGTAACTTGAGTTACGGCCATTTCGGCATTATAATGCCATCGTCAGACGTTGAACATTCAGCTGACGTAGCGTTGTCATAGTTAAAACACATAACACGAACACGAATAACATCTTTCAATTACCTAACGAAAACACAACGAACAGGCCTGTCGCACACACGGTACCGGTTGACATTGCCGCGATCTGAACTGGATGCCGACTAGAGGTTAATCCTGCATCGTTCTTTGCGTAGTGGTGTTATCAGCTGACCTTTGTACTCCTGCCTTTTGTCTCTTGTCCTGGTCTAAAATACTATTGAATATGATGTGTGACTTATATTGTAGTTTGTCATTTAATATTGTGTCATCAAAATTATTTTCTGTATAGGCTCTGTAAATTTCGTATTCTTCTAGTGTCTCCAATTTATTTCCTTTCTTGCTTCTGTGGAGTATATCGAGGCCAGTGTTCAGATCAGACATGTCATGATTTTTGTCAACCAGGTGTTGAGCAAAGGATGATTTTTGTTTTTCGGCTCTTGGACATGGGTGGTGTTCTTTGTACCTGGTTCCGAATGTCCGTCCAGTTTTTCCTATGTAAAAGCTCGGGCAACTAGAATGTTCAACATCTGACGATGGCATTACAATGCCGAAACGGCCGTAACTCAAGTTACAACAGTTTGAGCTGTAGACGAAGGTAAATACCTATTTTTAATTAATATCACAGCTCAGGGGCTAAAAATGGATTTTAAAACTGTTGTAGTTTGTTTGTTTATGGATATATTTTGATCAAACTTGGCAAATTTATTATTTAAACTAAGCTATTCATATTTCACTAAAAACACACTTTATTACCCTCCCTGTAGCAGCAAACCTAGGGATTTAATTTAAAATCCAATACTGGTAAATGGAAATTCGCTTAGTCTGCAGGTTTGCTACGGCAGGGGTATTTTGGTTACTTATAATGTACAGTATCAGTTAGATAATTCACGTTGACAGGTTTCTGATGTCCGGAGGGGAGAACACAGTGTGACTGTGCCTGCCCTGGGACTAGCATGGGCCAACTTGGTCACCTGTCGTCTGCAGATGTTCCGCAACTATGAGTTCCGACGGCTGCAAGTTGTCTTCTCCCCTCAGCTGCCACAAGGCTACTGTCAGTACAAGATTGCAGCAGCAGGGGTCCAGGGGATACTTCCTGTTGTGTACTCTCAGTAGAACTAGGGAGCGTTCTGTTGAGTAATAATGGTTCCTATTCTGTGATTTACATCCTAAGTTACTATTATTGCAGTTTGTTGATGAAATGTTTCACTTCAACAAATAAATAACTTTAAAAGAGTTTATAATGTTTATATAAATCTACCAAATGTCTTAGTGGAAATTAAAAATAAAAGAATGTTGCAATTAAATAAATAAGTATGAAACGTAACGTGTTGTTTATCCTAAAAGTAATAACTATTAAAACCTCTTTTTCATCTTGTGGAAAGCCATACCTTAGAATCTAAGGCTTAGATATAAAACATATTTACAATGTTGTGGAAGAGTCAACATTTTTCTTGCAGAGCAGTTGTTAAATTGAAAAGTTTGTTACAGAGTGTACATTGAAAACAAAAACATATTTCACCACTAGGGCGTAAATTGAAGACTTTTCACCCGAGCTCAGGTTTCACCTATTCTATGTTTCACGTCTTCTATGTGGGGCTGGCGCAATGTTGCAATACTATCATTGTTGTAACGTGAAAAGTGGGGTTTTCTATAAGGTAAACTATTGCATTATCTCTACTAAAAAAACAATCAAAACAAAACCCTTGTACAGTTAATAAAATTTATTTTAACATTTTATTATTTAAAAAGCATGTAATAATTTTCTATGAATGTAATATGTTTAAAGGATGTTTTCTTTGAACAAAATTATTGCATTTTCATGATTTTAAGTAAAACATGTAACATACATAGAATTGAAATTTTTTTATTCTCTTTGTTATAACATTTCCTACAATCATGTAGGCTACAGTTAACTTTTGTTGTAACTGTTACCGTTAGTTCTTTATTTGAATAAAAATGTAATAATTAATATTTTTTTGGACTTTTATTTCTGTTGTAAAGCTTTAATTATGTCTCCCAAGTTAAAAATTGGATGGCCTATAGTTGTAGTAGGACAGGTTACTGACCTTTTCGTTCTATTGTAAGGGTTACCAAAGTGTCCAAATTTTCAACCATCTTTCACAAACCCGGGCACACCATCACTGTCTGAGACATCACCGTGATTTTTGCAGACGCATTTCACAATAGCCAAAACACTGCGATCATAAAAGCTCAGCTGAAGCTCAATTTTATTTTATAACTGTCTTGGTGCGATCCCTCAAGCTTGTAGTTTAGGCTTTGCTTGGCTTGAAAATCAATCCGCTCACACACCTCCACAACTAACATAAGTTTTTTCAAATTTTTGTACTACTGAACAATTAATTATCGTGGCACCTGCGACGTCCCCTAAAGCTGCCCCTTATAAGGCGCCGCGAACGGTCGCCCCACCCACGCGACGGCCCTGCTTAGTTGTGCTTAGAGTCCTAAACCTGACTACTGTATACTAACTTGATAGAATTACTTGTGGAAAGAAAAATGCAGCATTTAGATGTAATTGAATATGTGCTGTTTATTAGGTTATGATATCTGTAATTATCTCTCATTTATATCATCTATTATTTTTAATGGTAAAAGGAAAATAAACAGCAATTTTTTCCAACAATATGAATATAATTAACTGACACCTGTATACCCTTAAACTTCTAAATTACAAAAATATGTACAAAACTCAATAATCATAACACAACCACAGCATATAATATAAATATATATATATAAACAGTAGTATTGCCCTCATAGATACCTCAATGATAATAACTTGGTTAGAAGTAATTAATTATTCAATAGCATTGAGTAATTGAAATTTACAGGGACAAAATTGTAAATACAGGAGTCATTAATGAAAGACTACTAGAAGAGAGCATTGTATACAAAATCTAACATCAGTCTAAAAATTTCTAAATCAGTTTTTTTAATAGGACTATCAAACGTTAAAGGTACTTTGTTTGATACATGAAAGAACTGCATATCACAGATGTGGCAAGTCATATAGTTTTGATTTCTCCAGTGCAATGGCCACAACATGATGGCGAAAACAAAAGAGCAGATGAAGTAACGGCTACAGCGGCTCCCATCACGGCGCTGTAAGCAGCGTCCGCGTTCTCCAACTCTGGTACGGGATGTTTCAATAGCTGCAGGCAAAAAAAATCACGTATCAGTGCATGTTTTAACTTGAGGTTTACAATTAAAAAAGATTAAGTTCTCAAAATTTAATTTATGATTTAACAGATCACAGTTTTTGTCTAACGAGTAAGGGTTTACTAAAAAAGAGTAAAAATAATGCTAGACTTGCACAAATTCTCTCTCCTTATAGTATTTTATACAACTAAATGGCCTAAGATTGCATTTAATGTTTTAAACAGTTAAGCAAAATAATTAAATGGATATACTATTTTTTCAATAACATTTAACTGTCATACAGCTACTTTGGGCTTACTTTATACTTTTTTTGGGCTATGCTACTTTTTGTATTAACTTCAATAGGTCTTCTGACACTTATCGATTTGGGTATTTTTACTTATTCGTCTTAGAACCACAAATAAAATATGTTAGGGTCATTTTAGAGAAGTTTGATTTTTTCTTAAGATGATTTTCAGTAATGCCTCTTACAAGCTCCAGTCGAAGCCAAGCAAACTAGCTGAAATCTGACACCAACACCGTATTCTTTACTTCCCTAACTACTATTTCAGCCGGCCGTCACACAGAAGCGATGATAAGTTTGATTGTAGTGATGGATATAAAATCTATGCTCCAACCAAGTAAGAATCGTATTCTGTGACTACATTTCTAAAATCCAATAGGTCAATCCCTATAAAAGTACATTGCCAGTTGGTGGATGTGAATGGGGAAAAGTGTTATGCGTAGAAACAATTTGCTTTGACTTAATTGTAGAAAAACTACACTTAAGTCAAAGCAAAAAAAGTTTACACATCCAATCATGGACAGATAGAACTTTGAAATTTTTGTATTATGTTTGCAATAAATATATTTTATTCACTTTGTGTGCAGGGAGAAGCAAAATAGTATATTTCGTACCTAGGGCCGAAAATGAGGTTTTGCCGGCTAGAGATAGTTTTTAAGTTCAAGACGAAGTCGAGAACTTAAAACGATCGAGAGCTGCAAAACCATTTCGGTCTGTGGTACGAACGCTATTTTTCACCACATTATACCCTAATACCACTATATAGCACAATAAAAATGCACACTGATACTCAACACAACTACATCTTTAAGGTTATGTTAAGAAATAATTTGAGCAATCAGCAAAAATAATAATAAAGAGTTGCTAAGCAGCGGTGACAATAAAACAATTCTATTGCAATGCTATGGATACTGATTGTGTATTTATTTAATATGCATTAATGTTTTAAGAAAGTAAGCGGACAGCTGATTTTGCAGCCCTAGGGATGTAAAAACCTGCTCTGTCCCCAAATACGATGACAGCTGGCATGGCCAGCAAAACGTAACTTTCAGCCACCAATTAACGTATGTAAAACAGCTAAAAACATCATAGTGTGGTGAAAAACCAATTTTGATCCACATAAATTACATCAGCCTATTCAGATAAACTGACAAGTATTATCGTTTGAGTAGGCCTACCTCCAAAGCTACTGTCTCTGCAGCTGTGTTGGCAGGTCCTAGGTGGCTCAGGTCCGCTGGCTTGGACGGGACGATACCGTTGCCTAGCAACTGCAGCCTCACCACAGCACTCAACTGCATGTTCACCTGGACAACACAACTGAGCTGACACAAGCATATGCAATTACTCAATAACTCAGCATTCATCTCCATACACTATTAAAAGCTTCAGTTCAAAGCTTTTGGCAAAACAACTCTTTCTTTAAATCTAATTGGATATGATCCTGTATTTACATTCTGGAAGTCCTCACTTTCCTAAAGTCAAATTATTCTAACTTTCACTCCGAAACCACCCACTCATATCTGCTTCGCAATAACTTCAATGTGAGAATTCAAGCCCAGTTATTGGGTCTTTGAACGCCAAACACTAGGGAGGAAACGACATTTCGGGTGGATTTTCAGTGTTTTTCTTCCTTTAGCCTAGCCTAAATCAGCTGAAATACTTATCTCTACTGTATGCATGGGCGTCCACCTAATCTTTTTATATGGGGGCTGGCAGGACCGGTGGTACGGAATAATCCCTAGTATAGAGGATGCTGGTGAATGTTTAACATTTAGGTTCAAATGTTTGATTGGTGGCACACTGCCGTCTGCACCATGAAGGGGCAAACTGACTCAACAAATTTTGACTCAGTTCTCTTCATTCTGTGGCGGTGTGACTTAATCCATTTGAAACAACTTTAAGCGATCGGAAGTGTAGTATAACGGCGCAGACCCCTTTGGACATTTTTGTACCTAAATTTGTTTTGTCAATTTATTGTTTTATGCATAGCCTAATTTTTTAAATAAAAAAACCTACCCTCTAAGGGTTTTTTTAAAACCCTCATAGGTTGGTCCTCATAATACAGTATTTTATCATCAATCTGTAACCGTCTAACTCTATTTTTTATTTTACAGTTCAATTTTCCATTTTATACAAGAGCACTGGTCTGATAATAATTGTTTTATACATTTAACTTTTATTTGTTTTTACTCCACAATCTGGAAAAAAAATTTTAACGTGGGGTCTCATGGGGGGGCTTGAGTCCATATGGATGGATGCCAATGACTGTATGCTAATTTGAGCTAAATATAAAAATTACCAACAAATAAGTTTCAAAAGTTTAAATGAATAGGTTAAATTTCTACATAGTAACTTAAGTTAAGAGAGATTTTTAATATTTACAAAAAAATTTTCCTTGTGTTAGAATGACATAATTTTAATAAAAAAAAAAAACTGAAATCCAAATATCATGATGCAAAGTACACAATAATATACTGTTTGACCTAAACTTCTTGACATACATATATATGATTCTGCTTACCTCACTCAAATCAAGAACATTGGTACTGTTGAGTTTGTGGATACCACTTCGGAGAGACGTGACATCAAAATTGTCACACAAAACACACAAATCTCTGTAACATTCAAATAGACGTACTAAATAAAATTATTTAATTTTACTTTACATGTACACAAATCAATTACTGTACTAATATCGTATGAATTAGGATAGTTTTACTATGAATGAAAATACAAGGGGTGCCGTACCCGAATTGTACATTTTAATAGGTAGAGTTCAAAACTGTGATTACCAACCTCAATCAGGTTACATTAGAATTGTCACTTAAGTTATTATTCATATTTAATAACTGCTTCCTCTCTTGATTACCATTTGACTGTGGATTTTAACACCAAAGACGACAATAATGTCTTCATTCCCAGAGGAAGATCTTCAGGATTTTGCCGAGTTCGCAAAGTATGATTAATTCTGTTTCATTCTGTTCTCTAAGAAGAGAATAACCTGAGGATGTGGCAGTCGCCACGAAACATGTAGTTGTTTATCTACCAACACTAAACGGATATTGTAAGGTAACAATAATAATTTAATTAATATAAAGCAATATCCAGAAGTAGGACAATGAATTCTAATTCTGTTACCGTGGCATTTGTCAAAGATTTTCTAAGATTGAGGAAGACCATGATAATGTTCCCACAACCGTGGGAGTCGTTATTTTGCCATGATCTGGAGGATGACGATTAATGTTTCCGTGATTCCGAAAGCAATGATGATGGTTCCGTAACCGCAGGGGATAAACAAGATTTGTTGTCGCGGTTGCGGGAAACAGTGATGATCTCCATACGACCATTGAAAATAGTCATGATATTACCCCAATAACATTGTCAATTGTCACCGATAGGTGACGGCACGGTCAGATTAAGCGAGGAGTCAAATTAACCAAAGTCTGGGGTTTAGTGTATTTTTTACATTAAAAACATTTTTATCATGCATCAATACAGTTATAGGCCTATTGAGAATACTTTTTACTTTAAATAAGATTGGAGGGACAGAAAACTACTTTAAGGAAAGCTTACAACAGTTTTTGCAAAAATATTTAATGGAGCTAGGGTTTTTACTTAATAATCTTTAAATGTAACTAAACTCAAACAATACTTTATACTCACTTGTGTGTGCTAACAAGGTACTCTCTCACTCTCCGTCGTTCTTCCAATATATTTTTGGTCATGTCTTGAAGATCCTGCACTCTACGGGTCAAGAGTGCTTTCCACTTGGCCAATTCTTCAACCATGATACTAAAAAATATGGATAAAATTTAGTAATAGAATAAATGTTTTCTGGCCTAAGTACTAGTTACATTTTGGCCTACATTTATTTAACATTTATTATCATTTAATTACCTAGACCCCTACCTTTCATCCAAAACAACAATGTGTTGGTAGAAATATGTTGTTAAATACTGTACCTACTTATTTTAGCGATTTTCACTCCCATTTTGTTGTATGCCATAATGCTCTGGGGATATAGTAGTCTAGATTCTATCCATGTGTTTTGCTTTGCAAAGTAAAGCCTTTGACTATTTAGTCAATGGTAAAACAGTAAGGATTTTGGCCAATTTAGCTAAAAATCAGGATGACTGTAAGCAAGGTTTTATTAACTATAATATAATATGACTGTCCATTGCATTTATATTTCAAAATCGTAAAGGAAAACCAGAGCGATTTTAAATGTTTTGACAAAGTTCATGGTTATGTGACAGGTGGCCGAATGAAACAACAAAAATGCGCTACGAATAAATAATTTATTAAACTCAACTTATAACAAAACAATAATAATGTATTTAGCTTCCAACTTGCTGTATGGAATCTATTTATGTTTAGTTTACAAATACAACACGAATAAGTTATTGGGGGAAAGGCGACGCAACTTTAACTTTACATTACCGACCGAGCCGAATTTTGAATTTAGACTAACTAGACCGAGTGCTCCCTGTCCATCACCCAGAGTTAGGCGTGGAGGGGAACCAGCCAATCACGTTGCGGCTATGCCGCGTGACGTCAGTGCAAACACTGGACGGTGCTGCCGCGTAACAATCACTCAGGGCATTAGGCAAACTGTAGCTACGCATTAACTGGATTTCATGAGCGACTTGCTGAGCTGTATCAGCAAATTCCAGCCATGCGCGGTACACTTTCCGAGAACGTTGGCCCGGCCCAGCACTGAGCCACGCTGACGGAATATTCCATGGTGAGGCAACTGGCTGACACAAAAAGCTGGGAGGTTAACAGTCCAATATTACAGACCCTCTTTTTATATTTGAAATAAAGCAAAGCTTTTGTGACGGTACTGACAGGGTTTCCTGAGGGTGTAACAAAAACCTCCCCAACTGATATGTAATCTGGAATAAATCCATATGGAATATATCGTATTTATGTAATATGGTCTGGGAATTTTTGGGGCCGTCACAGTTATAACACTAAAAGGGCATAAGATATTGTCCCACCCTCTTCTAGATTGCGGAAAACAATAGTCAGCCACAGATTAAGTGTTTTAATAAATTGCCACATTAGATCAGAAACCTTGAAATCCAACCATTTTTAAAAAGGAACTGTCAAGCTGGTTTATAACTAAAGTTGTCTATTCTCTTAATGATTTTTTTTATATAGGGCCTAGATACATTTTAATTTAATCTTTTATGAGCTTTGATCCAGTGATGTTTTAGTGATTAGTTGTAATCAATTTATTGAATTTTTCTTCTGTTTAAATTGATTTGTTGCTGAATGTTATTTCTTTGTTAAATGTTTTATTCTGTTGTATCAGTTAGTCTGACAAGTATTAATTATACTATTTTCTTTTATACTACAGATTACTGTGCTTGTGTTCTTTGACATTGTCTACAGCAATGTAATGTTGACAAATGACAAATGGATTCTGAATCTATGTAAAATATGATTTAAACTGGGTTCAGTAAAGAATCAATTGGATTAAAGAGACTCGACTGTAGTAGGCCTACAGCTGTAGCTTACCTGCTTGCCAGAAATTTGCTCCGCCAGACTTCACACTGGCCTGCTAGCCACTCTGTTTGTTCCTGGTGCGTATTTAATTTCTGCGCTGAGTTCAGCAAAGCCCGAGCAAGATGCAGCTTGTCCTCAGTCAGAATGTGGACTCTAGTTTCCATATCTTCCCCCACCGAGGCGACAAGCAGATTTTTCAAGTCACCATTCACCTTAAAATCAATTTTTTTACGAGATTTTTTTATAATTTAAGCTTCATTTTTATATGTTACAAAACTGTATTCTAAGCAGAATGTAGAAGCCAGTTTTATTTTAAAATATTTAATTACCATGTATGCTTCAACAACGAAAAAGGCCGCTGCCGTGGATATAGAAACAATAAATATACATACCTGAATTTGAAACTTCAACTGATTTTCAAGCTGCACGTTTTCTTTTCTTAAACGGTCAATTTCTTTTTCATACTGTTCGTTATTTGACTCTAACAAATGGGTACTCTGAACACAGGAGTCTACTGTTTGAAGGCAGTCAGTTTCAAGGTTTTGTTCCAACACTGGCAGTGAGCCGGTGGACATTTTCTTTGATTTCTTTTTGTGTATTTTCTTTTCTTGGGGAACCATGGGGTTTACTGCACATTTGTAAGGCTCATAAGGAACAAATTTTGGTTCTTTACCATGCAATTTCATTGCATTTTGATCATGTTTAGGAGGCTTGACAATGATCGGTGCTGGTCTCAGCTGAACGATTTTCCCAGTAATTTTTGGAGGTTGAGGCATGAAGTTTTGAAAATCTTCAGGAATGTAAATTAACTTATCTCGTAAACATTCAGCCTTTTTAACTGTAGTTTTCTTGTCTATACTTATTTCTGAACTTGTTGGTTCATCAGTATTTTCCATTCCATCTCCCTCAGTCCTTTTGCTGCAAGTGGGTTCTTGGAAAGATTTCTCCATTGAGTGATAATGTATTTCAGCAAAATCTGAAATGAGTACATATACTTTCAACTTCAATTGATTTCTCGGCACCAAAAGTAAAGAAACTGTCACCATATTGATTTATTTGCTGATGAGCCAATTTACACCAACAATTTATGGTCAATAAAGAGTTCTGACCCAACACACACCATTAATCACTTTATTTCAATGAGTAGGCATACACAACAATGTGATACAAAGGAGACAAACCCATTAATTACAACACTTGTTGTTCACAAAAAGAAGTCTGATTAAAAAGCAAATGAAAATTTATTTTTAGTATGCATTGGAGATTTTAGGATGTAGAGTTTTTTGTGAGGATTTAAATTCTGATCACAATTAATTAGGCTATATTTTGACCTAAATTCAATTAAAGGTAAGTTAATCTAAGTAAATTCAATTTAGAATTATTTTTTTTATGTAGAACACATTTGGATAAAACTGTGTCAATCAATGTTAATTTTATACCCAACGTTAATGAAAATGTCTTCTTTAATGTGGTAGTGGAGATAATGTGGAGAGAAGTCAAAAATGCTGGGGGAAATATGAGATCTATGATGTTTGCAGATGACATAATGCTATGGGAGAGAGATGAAGGGGAGTTACAAGACAACTGATATAGCCTATGGACAGAGGTTGTAAGAGAGAAAGAGAGAGAGAGAGGATTGCAAATAAGTAAGGAAAAGAGCAAAGGTGATTGGAAGGGATGGAGAGTTGGAACAACCTTTAAAAGTGGAGGGGAACCGCTTGGGTTAGTTGAAATTACATAGGCCTACCGATAGTTACCAATGGTGCAGATGTTTGAAATGTAACAGAGAGGGAATGGAGTAGGGTTCAGGCGGGGAAAATGATATTTGTAAAAGTTATTAAAGGGAAAACAAGATTGGATAGGAATAAAGAGTTAAAAGTTTGAGACGAGTAGACAAGTAGTTTGGCCACTTAAGAAGAACGGAAAATAGAATCCCCCCGAAAATGAGTGAGCTTCACATGAACGGAAGAAGACCAAAAGGGTAGACCTCGAAGAAGCTGGATAAGAGGAGTGCATTCACAGTATGTGGAGGAAAAGGAATTGTGGAGGGACAGAAGAAGATGGAGAGGCCTAGTGAACACCCAGACCCGGAGATAACCGGAACGGAAGAGCATATGTATGTACGAAAAGGATAGGTAACATTGTATCAAACCGACCATGAGTCAATAAACTAGGCCTACTCTCACTGTAGCTGGTCACCAGATCAGGTAGCCTACCTCATGTCTTTAGAAAGCAGATATGATTAGTAGCTTAGCTTCAAGAAAAAAAAAATGACTGCAAACCCATGCAGCCTATGTTTTAAGCAACAGTTGCATTGGTCAATGCAAAAATCACCCTTGGAGATAAGCTCAGAACTACAATAGACTCCCTCTTATCCGGACTCCTTGGGACCGAGGCCAGTCCGGATAACGGTTTTCCGGTTAAACTGACGTCCCCCAAAAAAAACTCGTTTAAACGGAACGTTTAAATTACTGTGATATTCAACTTAAATTTAGGAGGAGCACTGTATTCAGACACGTGATCACTGGACTTAAATCTTTCCCACGAAAACGGTAGTTTCAGTACCGCCCACTTCCTGCCGATCTAGTCCGGTTAAACCAATGTGCTGATAAAAATTTTCTGGTTAAAGAGATGTCATTTCCACTGAGTGTAGTCCGGTTAAACCGGGAGAGTTGTCCGGATAAAAGGGAGTCTAAAGAAGGTACTATGCTAAGTGTTGGATTTACGGGACCAGTATTGTTATCACAGTTTAAGATATAGCCTCTCAAGCCAGGATAAAGACAAGCTAGACTAAGGGGCAAAATCCTACCTAGGCCTAGCTTAAGTCTTAGAGTGCCACTCATGAGGAGTATAAACCTATTTAGGTAGACTAGCCTACTTTGGCATTATTTGGAGTTCACCCTTATAGGCCTACAGCACTCTGCGGCGGTTATGTTAGGTTGGGTTATCATAAATAGAAAGTATGAATCATCTGTTATCAGTATGTATCCAAAGTACCCCTATTAACTTAATCGTACAGCTCGGTGAGAGCGGGGCCCATTTAAGAAAACAGTACCCTAGACAGTTTGGGTGGACATTGATGGGTCTGGTTTTGGGTAGACTTCCATATCTGTTGGCAAAAACAACCGAATGAAAATATTGATTATTGGATTGTGTAATTTGATATATCTTTTGGTGAGTTTTAGGTTAACCTAACCTAACTAACCAATTATGATATATCAAATAATCGATATTTTCATTTGATTGTTTGTGACAAAAGATACGGAAGTCTACCCCTAGATTCGGGTAAGTTGCATATTTGATCACGCCTTTTGCTTCTTTTTATTTCTTCACGTGTATTTTCAATTAGGCCTAGGCCTTAACATAGGCTATATGAAAAAGAAAGGTTAAATCGATAAATAATTCATGGACGTAAAATAAACAGTTGTTAAAATTCTTGAAAATGTTTTGCGAGACCTTCCCTTCATGTAGCCTAGGCCTATCCCTAGACTATCAAACCGAGAAATGAATACTAGCCTAGTCTAGCCTTAGGTCTTATCGATAGTAGGCTACTAAATGAAATAAAATAGTATGGAATTAGGCAACTATGTTCATATATATACGGATGTGATATACTCTACATCGAAACCTATCCTGTAAAATGACAGATACTCCAATTATGCTAGCTAGTGAATACAATCATAATAGGATAGTAAAGTAAGTTAGTTTGTGATTTTATACAAAAGAGTATTTACCCAGATTCTCGTTCATATTTTCTGTTATCAATTAGAAACAGGCGAAATTGATTAAGATGCAGTTAAAAAACAATACATTCAATCATGCCATTGCCACATCACAACAGCTCAGTTCATTCATATAAATTATTTAATTTAAAGTAGTGTATTGTATTGAGGTGAAAAATGAAAGTTATTTTATCGTCGTCGTCGTCTGCATTTTTGTCTATTTATTTACCAGTATGATAGGTACTATCGCGGTGCGACACACGGGAGGGACTAAGGCTAACTAGAGATGGGCGTTATTTAACGTAACAGGGTAAATAACACTGTTAATAAATTGTAACCTGTTATCAAGATAACACGTTACTCAGAATACCCTGTTATTTTTGTAACGCTGCGCTCATTGGCTTATGAATTGATCTCCTGTACCGGTTCCGTCAGGATCAAAGTCCTGAAAGCAACAAAAATTCTTTAAAATAATAAAATGTGAGAAATTCCAGCCGGAATTTAACGTACACGAGAACTGTACATAGTGTGGCAACATTAACACCAACAATAATTATGGAAAAACTGGAACGAAACGTCCAGCTAGGTAACACCCATGCTAGAATTACAGCCCATCCGGGCCGAAACGAACGAACACGTCCAGTAACATGGTAGAGCACACCCAGCAAGAATTTCGTTACATTACGGCCAAACTGGAACGAATAAACCACCCGTAGAGAGTAACGCCAAGCTGGAATAATAACGTTACAGCCCAGCCGAGCCAGAACGAACATACGGCCAGTAACAGGGTAGAGCAATAACACCCAGCGCGAATTTCGTTACATACATGCCCGCCGAGCTGGGGCTGGGATGTCACCTGGATGTCACTGTGTGGTGGGGGAGGAACGGACCGGTAACAGGTTACAAAATTAACAGGTTACTGTAACCTGTTACCAAGTTGTAATGGAACGGTGTAACGCGTTTCTCAAAAGTAACGGTAATTCCCATCTCTAAGGCTAACATATCTTGTAGGGTTAGCGTTCGCCGCTAGAACCGCTAAGTTTGAAAAAATTAATAACTTTTTAATTATAAAATATTGTTTTAAAATTATAAAATAAATTTTGAGTTTTTAAAATAAAACTGTCATAACATAACATAACCAACCAGTGATAATATAAAAACTGTATAAGATAAAAATCTAATTAATGATTACTTAGGCCTATAATTTTTAATTAATTATTAAATCAATTTTAAAATTTAGTATCATAAAATTAAACTGTCATAACCTAACCTAACCAACCAAACTTGCTGATATAAAAATTTTTTGACAAAAAGTTAATGCTACCAGCGGGATTCGAACCCGGAACCTCTTGAACACCAAATCGATACGCTACTATCTATGCCACGAACGCCGCTGAAAACTCATTGTTTCGTTACGGTAATCGTGTTGCCTCAGGCCTCAAGAGTAGACATTAGATGACATTAGCCACTAGAGATATGACGTCACTACACTTTTAGCCTTAGTCCCTCCCGTGTGCCCATTCCGGTACCATCGTACTATGGTACTATGATAGTAGAGAAAACAAACCTGAGAAAAGTCTAAAGTAGAGAAAAGTCTAAGTGACTGTAGTCATAGATTCATGCCATGCTCATGGTTACAGCATATTATGCCTTATTGGTTATAGTAACATAAGACCACTGAGCTGTTATAATCTATGTATATCAATACATAGGACAAGCAATGATTAAAACAGACAGTGTAATTTGGTTGAAAAGTTTTGAAATAAATTTAACAAGAAACGGAACTAAAACGCTTGCCTACGTTTACGGCCAAGCATAAATTCGGGTGGGTTCCATAATATCGACAACCGTAGAAATTGATCGAAACTGAATTATTCCCAGTTTGTCGACACTGGAATATTCCCACTTAACCGACATCCCAAATAACCGACGTCGCAAATGATCGACACCACAAATTGTCGACATCCCATATTGTCGACAATGAAATAGTTTCACTATGTCGACACTGAAATAGTCCCAGTATATCGACAAGCTCCCGTTCTTCGGAGCTACTCTTGAAAAGGAGTTGTTCTAATTCATCGTTCAGTTCCTCACTCAACTCACGAGTCGCAATATTTAATTCCGAATTCCGACGGACAATGAATAATGTGGCCATTTTGACTAAGCGTTAAGTTATTATTAACCTAACTTTTATATTGTAAATATTTATCTTTTTTTATTTCTTTCCTTGCTTACAGGAAAATTGGTGACTCGTGTGTTACAAACAATAGTTTTTAAGGGAAAAAATGTGAAATAATTTGTATAGGTAGGTTATGTAGGCTAATCAACATGATAACAGACACTTTAGGTAAGTCACCAACAAGAAGGTAAAGTAAGACACCAACAAGAACTTAAGATACAGCTTATTCGTAGGCTAATTCTGAATCATCAAGCAATATTGTAGCAAATGTTTGAATAGGCATATCCCTAGGCTATTAGGATTGTCTCTTATTCCCATTGACCCAGTGTCAACTTTAAGAATTTGTTTATGTAAAAATATTCGGCTGCACTTTAGTTTATGTCCTTTATTCATTCAAATGAAAGATAATACATAAGTTAGACTATTTAATATTTTGAATATTTCATTCCGTTAGTTAGGTTAGGTTTCACCCTAACATTACCCAAAATTGATATAGGCCTAAGTTTATCGAATGAAATAATCAATAGGCCTATGACTGGGACGGGTGGCGTCGTCCTGTAATCCAGCTTCAGCTACTAGGAGGTCACGAATTGTGGATATTTATAGGCATGCACTGTGGATGCGATACTCCCTGGTGTGGATTAACGTCCGCTTGAGTGAGTACTACGACTATCCGCAGTACTATCCAGATAATTAGACCAATTCGTATATAGACCAAGGCAATAATGTGGTTCGGATTCCACTATAAACTGTAGGTCCCTTAGTTGCCATTAGCTGTATGGGCTATTAATTAACAGCTGTGTCTAAGGAATATCGGCCTTAGTCACTAACAAGACTACAAGATCGCGCCACTCATCCTGATCCTACACTCATTTCCATTCGTACTTGGCTTAAAATACCTACTTTGTATGGTCGCCAAGTAATAAGAAAGAAAGTATTAAAGAAATATATTCATTGGAATGAGTGTAGGACGTAAACTTAAGTGCTGTAAAATATTCTAGAGCTGTTTGTATTTGGTGTAAGACTAGACTTGGATTATATCATTCATTGCTGATGACATCAATGTTAATTTTATAGATGATCCTGGAGCAAAGGCTGTAATTTGACCTGAACCCAAATTGGTCTCTATTTTAAATATTGTCTTGAACCAATAAGTTAAGAGGACTAACCTTTCTGGACGACATTGCCATCGACATCACAGCAGATGAGAGAGAAAGAGAGACCAGAGTTGTGGACCCTGGAGGCAATTACCATACTGCCGTGATAATGTTCCTTGGTCTAACCATAACTTAAGTGAGGTGAGTCAACATTCTTTCCCCTTTGTGATAGATTCTAGGCTATGTTTGTTAACTAAGTTATTCAAAGTTCAAATCGGTACTTTGGTAAGTGTTATCCGGAGGCTACAGATAGGCTATACAGCGCTTTGTGGCGGTTATACTAGGTTGGATTATCATAAATGGAAAGAACATTTTATGTCCTAGGCCTACTGTCCATATTTGGGTGGGTTCCATATTATCGACAACCATAGACACTGATCCAAACTGAATCATTTGCATTTTGTGTTGAACAGAGTTTGAACAACTAATTATTTATATGTTTTATGGTAACTGTAGGGTAAATATAATGTGTAACACAAGTGCAAACTGCCATTGCTGCACTCGACAAACTTTCCACACTCGCCTACGGCTCGTGCGTAAACATTTCTCTCATGTGTAGGAGGATAATTAATCTTTATGCAAATTTATAGTTTTTTTATAAACATTCAAAACTAGGCCCCTACTTAAAATGCATTTGGATTACATCTCGAAACATGTTGTTTGGAAATGTCTTAATTAGGCTAGAGCTTGCATTTTTGCAAATTGGGAAATAACAAAGAATTAATGTTGAACACGTTCGATACCGAGCGACGCTCATATGCGTCGGTCCGGTCACTCATACAGACCAAAAGGAATGATCATGACGTTGCTTACAGACCAAGTGATATAGGAATAACATTGCCAACAGACCAAAAGAGAAATATCGTTTAAATGGACTAATTGACTTCATATTGACCTTAAGTGAATTAGTAAGCAATAAATATTGTTTTTATTTATCGTTTTGAGCAAATTTTAAAACGCCGCATATATGCGTCTCGATCAGTCTATTTAATAAAATCCAGATAAAAAGATTACCTACATTTTCGTTTCAATAGACCAGGCGACGCACGTTTAAGCGTCGTTGTAAATTTGGTTGTTTCAAGCTTTTACTCAAACAAATAAAGAAACTCCAAACACTCGCCAAAACTGCAAAGGTTATAACGTTTACATCTGTTCTGAGATGTCGCGGAATGCACAATGTAAACAACAATGTTGCCAACTGTTGTGTGACGTAACCAATCGTCATATCCACAGACCAAGCCACGCACATTCGCGGCAGATATCCCTCTAGACTGATACGATAAAATCAGGGCTTTAAAATAGACCGTTGCTAAGAAATACGCTGATTAATAACATTGAACACCGACGCAAGTGTGTGTCGTTAGTCTATTTCAATATGATCAGCTGACGCAAATATGCGTCGGTGGTCTATTGTGAGAAACGAGTCGACGCACAATTGCGTCGCTGGTCTATGCGAACGTAAATTTTATATAATTGTGGTAGCGAACGTGTTAAACCAATTTATTTTGTCTAAACCAAATTATTGTTACAAATTATAATATTTGTACTAACTTGACCCAGATTTGCTCAAACATTTTCCTATTAGCTGTACCTATTTGAATATCACAAATATAGAAAGGAGTGTACAGACTTGTATTATTTGTTGGACTCAAAGTATTTGTATAACACTATTTTTTGCAATATTTCTGTACAGAACTGAAGCCTACCAGTAAAATGGGGGCGTTGTAATTAATATCCTCCGACATTGGAGAATACAGGGGAGAGGTGTCAGAGGAAGAGGAGATGGAGGATGGGGCGAAGTAAAGACTAAGATTGAAGAGAACTAACTAATGGTAAGTTTTGCCATTTACTTAAATTTAATACTTATAAATCCAGGGCCGTGTCCCCAAGCCTATGTCGCATAACCCTCCTGAATTACTAGTATTTAACCAGCATTTTAACTGGAGATGTGCCCAAAAATTTGCTTTTGTTTTTTAGGAAATGTAGGCTATATTTTACGACTACCCACTGGTAGTCGTAAATTTCGATCACGCAATCTTTGCAGATGCTTTCGGCTATCATGAGAATACAAGACAAACTTGGATTATTGTACCCCCTAATTCTAACAGATTGTGGGAAAATTTTCCAAGAGAAAAAGCATTCTTTTGAGGCCCCAAGTGAGTCCCCTTCCCAGGCCGAAGCCCTTGGCAATCGCAGTGTCCACCGTTAGGGGAATACGGCCCTGATTTGGAGGCCTATGTTGGTGTGGGGCCTGGTGCAAACCCCCCCCCCCTCAGTAGGCCACTGAGTACATTAAATAATGATAGAAGTATGCATAAAAAGATTCTTGTTCTGTTCAGAATACTGTTTTTAATATTAATTTTTGTTCTGTTATATCCAGGCCTGATGACAGGGTGGATGGCGATGGAGGCATGGAGGTTGGGGGAGAGGAGGCTGAAGAAGTGGAGACAAATCAGTTTAGATCCATTATGTTGATTAGTTTAACATTTATTTTAAACATCAGTATTTAATTTTTTTTTCTCATTTAGATTATTAAATTAAGATAATTTTATTGTTTTTATGAAGATGTTTTCTTACATTTTTAATATTTGTTTGTACTTCTGCCTGGTAAAAAAATACTGTTTTCCTACAGTTACCTAACAATGTACATGTTCTCTCACTGATTTGAGAAAGCAAAGTGGCCAATTCGCTCATCAGTGTCATTTTAATTACTTTGTCTCACTCCAGATTTGCAACGTGAAGGCACAAAATAGTGAGCGCTTAACATGCAGACAAGGTCGTATGTGCGCGAAATACGTTGGCAGCACTGGCTGTAAATCAGCTGGTCAGCTGTTTTACTGTTGTATCATTAAATGTCATATTAAAAGTTCACTTCTGTGTAAAAATATGTTACGTTTCTTTACCAATTTATTTGTTTTATGGTAACTGTAGGAAAAATATAATGTGCAGCTCGAGTGCAAAGTGCAATTGCCTCACTCGAGAAAACATTCCTCACTCGCCTACAGCTCGTGAGTAAGTATTTCTCTCGAGTGAGTCAATTTATCACTTTGCTCACTAGTTGCACAAATAACTATTATTATCTTTGTTAAAATGATTACTTTCACTAACTGACCTTGTCTTGGGTAAAAAGAGATATCTTGATATTTAACTAGCAGGGTGCCTGTTCTATGGACGGGGATTGTATAAGTCAGTAGAAACCTTCTTATATTTCGATACTTGGTAAATTAATCATTTCCAACTTTATATAGTATAGATCGCTATTCCTGTATTGATGTACTGAAATGAATAAAATTATATGAAATGAAATGTTGTTTTTTTTATATATTTTGATGACACACTATTAAAAAGGCATAGCAATATTCTAAAGTTTATAACAGCTTATGTTTGTGTTTTTATTAATGATTTATTGTGACTTTTGAGTGATTGAAGGATTTGTGATTTGGTTTTAAGGAGATTGATGTACCTAATTTTGTATCTATACTTATTAAATATTAAGCAAGCAGGTTTTTGTGACAATTACTTCTCCGAAATTACTGAACCGATTGACATCTTTTTGGTGTCATTGGAAAGAGCATAACGTGAAGTTGTGCAAGAAACTTTCTTTTTAGGGAAATAATTAGAGAGTGAGGACCTGGGGCCCTTTAAAGTTTTGTATTTCTCCATAAGATTAACATGGGAAACAAATATTGTTATGAAACTCCAGCTGTTGTCAGAAATTTAAAGTGAGAAGAAAAACATATGTTAATTGTAAAATTGTGACAGAGAGGTTATGCAGAAAATCAGGTAGTTAATGGTTATTTGGTGCTATTAAAATAAAGACTGAAATTTGTAAACGTACTGGCGACAATGGGTGATACAAACTACATTATCATTGACAAAGACCAACATGGACAACCTATTGTGGCTATAAGTGGGAAACATTTCTACAACACACTAAAAGCCTATGGTGGAAGGAAAAAACATAGGTGTGCTATTCCCGTCATATTCTGAAGTCACTTGGATTGCAAACAAAAGATCACCTGATTGTAACTGTCAAATTAGTATGTAATTGTTTTGATTTGATTGTTAATGTTTTTTTATAAAAACAATAACAACCAAATCAAAACAAATACATATACTAATTTGACAGTTATAATCAGGTGATCTTTTGTTTGCAATCCAAGTGACATCAGAATATGACGGGAATAGCACACCTAGGTTTTTTTCCTTCCACCATGCTAAAGCCAGATCAGCTTTTGAAACATGATAAATTATTTACAAGAAATGTTGATTATGTTGAACTGGTAAGTTACATTGTGAGTATTATCATTAGTTACGTAATCTTTGAGTTGACTCTTTTAGACTCATCGGAATTTATAAATTATATTTGTTTTTAAACAAGTTATTTGTTTTTAAATAACTCCTTTATGTACTTCTTTGCGATTGCTCGATTTCAAGCAACATATACCTAGTTCAATTTATGGGTAAACTTTTTTTTATAAGAACCGGATTTCGTTATTCATGTAACTATTGGAACACTTTTTATTATAGTATCCATAATAGGAGTAAAAAAATTAAACATAACTAGAAAACACCAGGTAGGATTCGAATCAGCTGCTTGATATTGACATTTTGTGGACATTGTGTGACTATTTTTATATATATTTCAATCTACTGATGAGGGAATTAAATTAACAACAATTTATTTAGTATAAAAAGTATAGTTGACTTCCAATTGAAAGGTTTATTATAATAAAATAACTGGATTTGTAATAAAACAACTATTATTATAATAAAAAGCTAGTGACATCATTTTTTATGTTTATGAACCATACTGTTTCTGTTCTAATATCGGTGATAACAGTAATTCCTTTTACCTACGACCTTTTAAAGTAGCCGTTTCAGTTAAGTCCTTTAATAAGTCAACAGCTGATCTTGTGTCTTTGTTTTTGTGTCAAATACTGCGTCCATAAAGATTACATACAAATTTTTAGAGCCAGTGGGGGGGATTCCTTAGAGAGTTTTTTTAACGCCATATAGTTGTTAGCACTCACCGATATATGGTCTTTATCACCATGCAAAATTTGAAAATGATTACTTCAGCCGTCTAGGAGGAGATTGCATATTACGAAATGAAATGCATAAGAGTCGACGTATAAGAGCTTCGCTCAATGAGTTATAAGATTTTAGATTTTTTTAACATAGGGTAGGTAAGGTGTTTATATATTTCCAGCACAAAGAACCATTTTGAACAATATTTTTGAAGATTTTCAGTGTTTGTTCTTGTGTCTGATTAACATGGATATGGATGTCACTGAAATAGCCACCCTGGAAAATACATCACACAAACTGACCTTGTGAAAATAGGGTCAGGAAAGAAAAAAACCTGTCATTGTTAGTGTCAGCCCGGTTTTCTGGCTAGTCAAACTAGCCTATAACTGAATAAGTTACACACACTTACCATGGTTGGAATATGCAGGCAACCTTGTGTTTGCATTGAACAGTGTGACAGAACAAAAACCAATAACTTTGTGGTAATGCAAACATCTATACAGTAATGAGAATTGAATTGAGAATCAAAGATTCATAATTATAATTAATAATTCAGTAATAGAGTAAACAAACAAACAATAAATGTGCATAAATAAAATTAGAGTTTTGTCTGTAAATTGCTCAGAATTATATATTAAAACCTTTATATTAGCTCGCTTTCTTGTCTGGTACAAATTTTGCAATCAATTTTATACTAAGTTCCCAATGAGCTATAGAGACTTGAAACTTGAAACATAGCTCACAAATGGATGACAATGCAATATTATTTAATTTTCATATTTCCCTTGTGCTACGCCCCATGGGCATGGGCTTGTTTTTATTAGCTCGGTAGTCGCTTTCCTACAAATTTTGATATTAATTTTAAACAAAGTTCCCGATGAGCTAGAGACTTTAAATTTGAAACATAGCTCCCCAAATGGATGACAATGCAATATTATATCATTTAATTTCACATTTCCCTTGGGCTACGCCCCATGGCCTTCCAAATTTTCCATGTTTACATTTTGAAAGAATGTAAATATATCAATTAATTTATGTCATATGTATTTTTTTTTTTTATACTAAATAATATAATTCACAATTTTGATATGGAAAAATAATAAAACATTTGCTATTTAAATTAATAAATAACTGGTACTCCAGCCCCATCTTCAAACTCTCTAAGGGTCCTCCACTTCTTCCTTGTCCTCCTTAGACACATGCTGCTGGCCCTTAACGTGCACAAAAAGGTTTCTTCCATTTTTCTGTTAGGCGTTCTGCCATTGCTCTGAGCAAGGTCTGAAACTCTTTGCCCAGCATTACGTCCACAGACGTGACTAGTGGGGTAGAAGATGCATTTCTGGTTTCTGTTATTGTTAAATATTATTTGCTCTTCTCTCTTTCTGCATTCTTCAACACTTTTTTGTATGGGAGGTTCAAGTACGATGGAGCATCAGTGTCAACGACACGTACATCGAATAATGCTTCCGTCTGAACCTCCCATACACCCCTACAAGCCAAGTCTGCTTTTAGTGCTGCAGTATCAAATGACCCTTGCTCAGAGATCATTGGTTCTCGAACACAGTTTCCCCATGCTAGCTCCATCAAGCTTCCAAGGGTATCCCTTACCTCATTATGTCTTCTTATTATCAAACCACCTGTACAACATTTAAGGGGATGTTCCATATTGAAGTTTTTGCCACAGCCATCACATGAAGAGTGGATAGGTGTATAGGAGTTTTCCCATATCTTAATGCAAGAGCATCTCTGAACTCCAGTGGAGAAAGATCTAAGTTAAGTTTTTTCAGAGGAATGCATGACAGCCATCCACTGTGTTTCGCTTTAGTATTTGCTCATCGCAAGATAATTTTTTGTTGTTTTAGAGGAAAATTTTGAATAGTCGATTTCAAAATGTTTTCTTCTCCTAATCTTCTCTCCTCTTTCAAGTCCTTTTTTGTGATAATCAAATGTTCTTCATGTTCTTGCATTCTTATTTTCCTCTTAGTTTTTAGGGAGTCTATGATGAATTTACAACATCTCTGTGAAGCTCGGAACAATGCTTTTCCCTGAGCGGTAGGGTCCACTAAACCAATTCCTCCATTTTTTACTTGCAGATGTAATATTTTTTGTTCATCTTGGTTTAGGTGAGAGCCAAATAAAGCAGGAAATAGGTTTTGTTCTATTGAGTTTTTTACTGGATGAAAATTAATGTCTTCACTTTCAACAACTCTTTGAAAAAAAAATCCATTTAGCTTGTATTGATTTTGTGGCAACAGTGTGTTCAGATTGTGGGTATATTTTTCAGCTACATTCGCCAGACTTACCAAATGACTATTCCACTTTTCTACCTTCTTTTTAATAAAGACATCTTTTTCAGTTTTGTCACATCCAATAAATCCTCCTAAATAACTACTCCCAGTAACAATCTTTAATCCTGATATGTTGGATAGGTCTAATGTTGATGGTTCAGATCCAACAATCAAACAGGTTTTGTGAGCTTGTGGGTAGTAACCATATTTAGGCCCAATTTCTTGTAATTTCTCTCACCATTTCATCACATTATAAAGTTTTTCTTGACATGATGAGTCATCCGCATGCCATACTTGGTTTGCATCTGTGATGGTTTTTAATTCATTAATTAACGGCAAAGTGGCTAATCCATATAATATCATATGGATAATGG